GTCTCCCATCCAAGGACTAGCCAGGGCCGACCCTGCTTAACTTCCGAGATATGGTGGAATTGGCTAGCCTGGGCCATCCCAGGTCACGTAAAATCGTATCCTCCCCCCCTTTCAAGGGCTTTCCAGTTAGACCAGCCATTGTTCAGTTTAATGCTTCAGGCAACTGCCTGTTGGGTTGAGCTGGCTCTGCCAGAGTTTGACTGTTTTGTGGTTTGAGATCTGGAACTTTGTCTTCCTGTTTCATCCAGTGGGCTTTCGTAGGCCTTATTCTTTCACCGTAGTGTGTGTGTGTTGTTCTCTTACCATCTGGAAGATGAGGGAGTGAATTGAATATGCATACATAGGTAGTCGAGTTCCCCATATCAATTTTCATTCTGGAGCTGCAGAATAGATAGTTGCTGTACATCGGAGGTATACCTGCGACTCCTGTCCTAAGGGCTTTTACAGGTGTAACATTGCTGCTCATTCTTACATGTAAGAGAGGCTTTGGGCTTGGATCTTTTGTGTGATTGTTCTCTTGCTGTAGTGCATTGGGGCCAGGGAGGTTTGCCCACATGGAACTAATTGACTGTTGGTTCTCATATTATCTCCAGTAACTCTCCAAGGTCTCTAGCAAAGACCTTTCCTAACTCTGGGGGCTGAACCTTGACTATTCAAAAGTAGTTGCTCGACCACTAAGCCACAGCCTTGCTCTTCATAGCTTTGTCATCCTCCTTACCCATGATGGTGAACCCCACCCCCCTTTCCCATAGGGTGTTAGAAACAACCACAATGAGAGACCATAATGTGCAGTCAGTCTCTTGGTTGTAATTCTGCTTTAGTTGGATGCAGAACGTTGGTTTTTAACAGTTGAAATTGTCCCGGGAAGATGCATTGTTCCCCTATGATTATGTACACACATTACTCTCTCTTTCTTAATTTAAAATATTTGTCAACCTACCTTTCTCCCAAACCAGCTGGAACTTGCGAAGGTGGCTGTGTTGCTTCTGGACAAGCGGGCTCAGCAATTATTTTGACATGCTAGCAAAAATACGAGGTGCCAGGCTTACTTACCAGAGCCAGAAATGGGCTGCAGGAACGCACAGGGTGGGGCGGTCCCTCTTCCAAACAAACATTTGATTTTTTTTTGGGGGGGGGGGGAGAAATCCTTACTGGCTGGAGTTTGCTTGTGCCAGACCTGCTTCTTTTGTTCCAGGTGATCAGCCTTTCTGGGATCAGGAAGGGATCTTTCCCCAGGTCAGACCCGAGAACAACTCCTGCAGGATTTATTTATTTTCGGCATCCTCTCTCTTCCCCTTCCCTGGCACCTACTCTGCATGCATATCTGCTTGCTCAGGCAAGGGAGCAAAGTGAGATGCTTTTGTTGCAGCTGGTGGTTTTCAGAGGGTCAATTACAGCTGGCCGTGCTCAGGAGACGCCCTGTGCTGTAAGCTTCGCGAGTGGCTCCCTTATCGCGGTTCTGGCTTTCCACGCTGCTGGTTATTCTGAAAAGATCATCAATTTGCTGTCGTGGTGTGTTGCATATGATACCCAAATGCCGTTTCTGATAGAGGGTAGAGGAAAGGCTCATCCATTTGAAAATTGCACACGAGAGGAGGAATGGCAATTTACCCAGAAAGGGGTAGCTGGAATATCAAACCTTCTTAAGCTTTTACAGTCAAAAGGGGCAGGAAGTTGGTCTGTGTTTGTGACTTTGCTCTCCAGCTCGGGCTGTTCCAGTTTGTGTTGTTAATGTTTCTTGCTGTGTCTTGCCTTCCCTTGTTGGTGTGGAAGTTTTTGGCCTGTGCTTCCCCTGGCTGTGCTATGCCAGTTGGGAAGGAAAACGCCTTGCTTAAGAACCGGTGGCATGCCTGCTGCCATTTGTAAAGACGGATAACTAGACAGAATGTGCGAGTATATTTGATATTTGGTTTACAGCCATTTGCAGCCAGGACGCATTAAAGACTTCGGTGTGTCTTTGGAAGGCGTTTAAACTTTGAATATTGGACCCAACCATCTCTAGCCATATTGAAAACCAGTAAAAAAAAAAGCTTCCTTCAGTTTCACAACTGGCTTGCCTTTGGAGGAAGGCTATTTTTCAAGGACCCAGCGCTCTCCTGTTGAAGGCAGGTGAATTCTACTGGAACAGGCCAGTGGGTTATCTAGTCCAACATCTGGTGCCCCTGGAAGGGGAATGGCAGGGTTGCCTAGCCTGGCTACCAGTGGGAGGGGAGGTGAGGTGAGTAACTGTGGGGGTGGGGAATCTCTGTTGCCACGCAGTGATGTAACTTCTGGAAGCGCTGGCCTTGCACTGGTGTGACACTCTGTCTCTTGCCTCAATTCCGGTACAATGTTGGCAATTCCAGGTCGTGCCAAAAATGATGTCATTGTGCAGCGACGAAGATAGCTGCCTCCATGTTTTGCTAGCCTGCTTCTGCCCACCGACTGGATGAGTGTTATTGGGCACCAGCAACAATTGCCGGGAGTTTGCCTGCCATTAGCCGGTCCCTGGTAGGCCTAGGGAAGTGGAGGGACACAGAGGCCCCAAGCTGGCTTTCAGGAACCTGGTATTCAGAGGCACTCTGCCCTGCAAAATGGAGGTTCCTGAAAACTGCTGGACCTTCGGCAGACCCCACGGCTTTTCTGTTACAGTTCTAAGAATCCCTTTCCTTTGAAGCAGGTAAGTTCTCCATATTTACCAAGAAGAATTTATAACAACATGTTCCCCTAAAATTGCAAACTGGTTTTCAGATAAAGGTAGGCTGGGGCCACCGAAGTTTGTTTATTTCCACTTCAGCTTTCCAGCAGGATTCACCCAGTGGCTCCTGATCCAGGGCACTGTTATTGGCGTATGTGGGCTTAGCGAGTTGCTCGTTCCATTCTTCATCAAAGAGCAAATTACGATCGAAGCCAGTTATATCAACTTTGTGCTCTGGCTGTTCACAAGACAAGACTGTGTTACGAAAACCGATGGATGGAGCCAGACTGTCGTGTCTTTTGCATAAGCATTTACATGAGCATGATCCAGCTGAGCCAAAAGTTAAACACTGTGCAGTCCCATTGCATCTCAGTAGGAGAGATTTAAACATAGGCTTTATCATTTAACTTTTGGCTGGACCATTCTTTGTGGCTTTATTTCAGTCGGTCTGAGTGTTGCTTCTCGTTTCTCTTGCCAATGATCCGGTGATGACAGGGGAAGATGGGACAGCATACAGCCTTTGGTGTAATGAGCCAGGGGAGTTGTTTGCGGCTCTTCCGTTTTAACTTCCCTTTCAGTGGATGGCAGAGCAAAACACAAGACTGAAACTTGACGGCCCTTCTCCTAAACTATGTTTGTTTATTTACTCAAGTTATAGCCCACCTTTCTTGCTGGGACTCAAGATGGATTACAAAATATAGAAAACAATTCAGTTGGACAACGTAAAAGATCCAGTAAATGATGCAGTAGGACTACAGAATTGGAAAATAATGCAAAGGAAAAAACTGTTTTAGGCATGACAATCTGTAATGCAGAAAGCAGATTACAAATGTAGAAGACCATTCAATAGACACAAGGTGATAGGCACAACAAACCTTGCAACAGATGGTTCCCTTACGAAAGCAACCTTTCGAACTATTCCAATTATACTGCTTTCCCTTGAATTAAATCCCGAATCATTTCTGACATCCATGAGGGTGGGGAGAAATTTTACTCTGCCGCTGCCTCACAGTATGATGTCATGTGATCCTATCTTTTCTGTCTCTGCTTCTGCTCACCCCAGCTGTAAAATGGGTGCACCACCAGCCCAAGAGCTGCAAAGATTGGCTTGTTCTCTTCTTTGTTTTTTTGCATGCATGTCTATGGGTGTGTGTGATGTGCTTCTGGTCGCATTGCAGGGGAGGGGACACAGTACCACTAGTTACAGGATACCATTGACTTTCTCTTGCTCTGTTTCCTTTTTGCTGATGCTGGAGGGCTTTTTCTGGCATCCAGGGGAAAAAACAAAATCTTTTGACTCGTTTAAAGAAACAAACAGCTTTCTGGAATTCAGGCCGATCAGCTTGCTTTTTGTGGATTAGGTAGAATCTTATTGGCTCAAATATGAGGGAAGACTATCCAAAGCTCTTTTGAAAAGACCCCATACCAAGTTTTGACGTTAAAGGTCTCCCTTAATGGTCCTCTGATGTTAAAAGAGAGGATACACATCATAATGGAGTTGTTGGGTTGCATCTTGCAGATCTGCTCTGCTGATGGCGAAATCTTCCCTGATCCAAGAGTCCTTCTGCATGGACTCCTTGAAGGAGTTACTCTGACTGCTGTTAGTAGAACAGATGTGTGGGATCCAACCCCACTGATTCTTATTGTTTTATATAATGCATTTTGGAATGTACACGCAGTCCTCTTGAGACACAACATCTTGCTACTAGTCCGTAAGAGTCGGGTTTTTAAAAACTATCTTGTGATTAAAATTTTGTTCTTTAAAAAAAAAAAACCAACGAAAGAGAAATTTAACGGACAATGTGTAGATGAGGACTGTACCCACATGTCTCAAAAATTATCTGTGTTTTTGTAAAATGTGTTACACAATCATCAGCTCCATTGTTGCCCTGTAGCAATGTTGTGATACAGCAAGATGTAAAGCTGCTTGCAGTCAAGTTATCACATTGGTATCAGTGGGACTTCAGCCTGACTTTCTCTGGCTTGGGTCCTGTACCCTTGGGGAAGACCTTTAGTGTTCCAGACAACATGGGTCACTTTTATGAAGTGAGACATTTTTTCATAACACCTTTTGGGGAGCTGTTTCCTCATCTTTGTGACACTGGATAGGTGAAGAGCTCTCATTCCTGAACAGCATGGATCCTGTCTTAAAATATGTGTTGAAACCCTTAGCCTAACGCAAATATGATTTTTTGGCTTCTATGAATATAACCTGCTCCATACACCGGCTTGAATGTCAATTCTGATTTTAATGCTTAGTAAAATTGTTTAATGATGGCTTTTGCTAACCAATCTAAAATTAACTGTGGTTGTTTAATTACAGAGGGAACATACCCACGCTCAACAGGTACAGTAAACTATCCTCTTTTTAGATCTGAAAAAGAAAAAAAAATAGTTTTTTTTAGAAGAATGTAGTTTTAACTCTTTCTTTTTCTTCTTCTTAGTTTGGTTTAACAATTTAACCTTTATTTTGTGTTTGGGTGGGGGGGGAAATCAATTTTCTTACCCGGAACCATAACACATACTTTTCTTCCTCCTCTCCTTTGTGGTGGTTTTTAACTCCTTCCCCCTCCCTCCATTTCTTCCATCCCTCTCCTCACTTGTACATATTTGAAAAGCACTTTGCACCCAACCAAGCTACCAAACTAACCTAACATGCTCATGGGCTCAGCTTCCCCGCTTTGCAGAATGATTTTACACCATAACCCTTTTTTAGTCATTACATTTTCTTGCATGGAAAATCGTGGCTCTGGGACGTGTGTTCCAAAGCTGCAAATAGGCACATTGCCCTTTTCACACAAAACATGATTGCACGCATTGGAAAGCGCATGTGCTGTGCCTTCTCCCCATGTGTCCAAAAAAATGTAATGACTGGAAAGGGTTCTTGAACCAAAAGAATCTAGGCGTGGGTCTGCTTCCTTATGCCCCTTGGTTTTTGACATCTTCCCTGGCACTTACCTTTCAAGGTTCCCAGGGGAGTAAGCATTTAGTTTTGAATTAGATATCTGCAGGTGATTGCACAAAGCTGCTTTAGAGTGACGCTGTTAGTCCATCTAGTGCTGTGTAGTTGTCTGCTCTGACTGATGGAGGCTGTCCCTGTTTCAGGCAGCTGTCCTGCTAGTTGAGAAGCAGCTCTTTAAGGTCTGGAGGAGTGGCTCCCCCCCTTACAAAATACACCCGCTACTCAAGAGCTTTCGAGCAGAGACCCACAGAGGATTGAGTGCCAGTTTGGTGTAGTGGTTAAGTGTGTGGACTAATCTGGGAGAACCAGGTTTGATTCTCCACTCCTCCATTTGCACCTGGCTGGACGACTTTGGGCAAGCCGTAGTTCTGGCACAGCTGTTCTTGAAAAAGAGTAGTTTCTGTCAAGAGCTCTCTCAGCCCTGCCTACCTCACAAGGGTGTCTATTGTGAGAAGGGGAAGGGATAGGAGTTTGTAAGCCGCTCTGAAACTTCTTTGGTATTGAAGGGCGGGGTATAAATCCAATCTCCTCCTCTTCTTCTTCTTGAGCATGGCAGCCTCTTGCGGACCGGAGTACGTGTTCTACCCTTGAGCCACCTTCCAGCTTTAGCTAGATTTGAGTCCAGTAGCACGTTTGAAACCAGCAATATCTTCCAGGCATAAGCTTTCAAGAGCCAAGGGTGTAAGCTGTCAAGAGTCAGGTCTGACCAGGGGAGCTCGGACTCTCAAAAGCTCCCACTCCTCCAAAAGGTTGTTGGTCTGAGGTGCGACTGGAATCGAATCCGGCTGTTCTCCTGCAGTCCCACACAGCTGCCCTCCTGAAACTCCTCTAGCTTTAGTTCGTTTCCCTGGTTGCAGGCAGGAAGCAGGCAAGGGAGAAGTGGGGGGAGATTGCGTTGACCCAAGGCCGCATCAATCATATTCACAAGTTCAAGGGGCCCCAAGCATGTTACAGGCAAGAAGATATTTATAGCCTCACCTGCGAAAGCGACCTTGGGTGCGGGAGGCAGCGATAGCCTGGTGCTGTTCTGGTGTCTCGAGGTGATGGTGATGCTTCTGAATTTGCCGATGCTTTTACCCTCCACGTTTGTCACCAATCAGCTGATGGAGTGGGAGTGTGAACTTTACATGCATTAGCAGATGTCTGTTCTCCTCCCCCCTCCACCCCTCCCATTCTCTAAATGACAACAAATCATCATGGGTCTTCAAGACGGACAGACGTGGTAACTTGGGGAGGGGAGGATACTTTGCTCTTTTTCCTCACCTTTGCAGATTTTAAACTGCAATTTTGCAAACTCGGGTAGGACCCAAAAAAAGGCTTTAAAAGCCTTAAAATGGCAATTCTTGGGCCTCCCTGGATCATGTAGCAATGTTTTGTTTGAGTCCAATTGCAGTCTTCTGCCTAAATCCAAGGACCCGTCCTTATTAAATTATATTCCTGTGTCCTGTTGGTTTATATTAAAGTATTTTAGAGCACATCTGCCTGTTGTTAATTTTGGAAGCTTGGTGCACACTTAAAGGCACTTGCTTTCCCACTTCTCTACAAGTGATAGTGACCTTTGGACACGCCAACCCACCTGTCTCACTCACATGGCCCATAAGGTCATTGTGGGACAAGCAAGATCCATTTAGCACAGCTTCCTTCCTGTTCTCCAGTGTCTGGGAGAGAAAGCATTCTGCATTTCCCAGTGATGATTCTAGTGCATTTAGTTGGTCCACGGCCAGACACTGAAGGGCCACTTTCCATGGAGGTAAGGGGTGGTGGTGGGCCAGTATTCAAACCCACATGCACTTTCTCTGTCGGCCAGGCATACACTTCTGGCACCAGTAACTCCTGTGGGCCCAGATTTGGCTAGTTGCTCACTCCCTCAGTTCAGGGCTGCAGCACTGAACAAAGAGTTTGGCTTTGATGTGGAGAGACTCTCTCAGAATACAAAAGGTAGAGGCTCACCAAACTGTGCCACTTAAAGTAGGATTTCAAAGAAGAGAGATGCTGTACTCAAGGTATCTCTCTCCTGAGACAGGCTGTGTCCTAACATGAGCCATGCTGTTGGGCTGCATCCCTCACTCTCTCCTTCATACCTGCCTGTCCTTGGTCACTGCCCTTCTGATCAGAAGCTAAGGACCATTGTCCCTTCACCATTATGAGCATGGAATCAGCATTCACGGCTGGGCCCGAGCAGCTCTCTTGGGTGTCCTTGGGTGCCTTCCTCTGTTTCTGGGTTTTTTTTTCCTTTGCTTCCTAGTGTTTCTTAAGATAGTGGCCTGTTGGTCTTTGGCCTAAGACAACTTCCAATGTTTCTTAAACACTACTCTTTAAAGCCAATGAAAATGGATGACGTTAAGAGAAAGGCAGCTGCTAATTTAAAATAATGTGAATTCTTTAGTTCTGTCCTGTGTTTGGGATGCTAAATGGGATTTATGGGGCAGCCTAATGTATCAGTTGTCCTGTCATTCTACACCAGGATGTTCAAGTAAAGAGGAGCCCAGTATGTTCCCAGAATGGCTTAAATTATATTCCAAAGCAGTGACTCCCACGTACCACCCACCACTGAAAATGGCAGCCTGGTTTCTAGATTGTCTCCCGTTGTGGTGTTGGGAGGATGAGGGACTGGTACACAGCTGCCGTTTTCTGCAGCAGCTGTGTGTTTAGTGCAACTCCTAATCTAGCCCTCGAGGAATGACATCCATGGGGATGGTCGGCCTCATCGTACGAATGGTCCTTTAAAGACTATCCAGTTGTCTAAATGCAACTTGTTTGCAGTGCGTAGCCCCTCCCGCCAATTAAAAAAAAGTGGGGAAGCTAGTTTGTCCAATTAGACACTGTTTGCCGTTGTTTCTAAACATGTTTCAGTATAATATAGTTAGACATTTGTGTGGATGTGTGTTTGTAACCTGTTGTCCCTAAAGATTTACTAAACCTTTCAAGCTACAATCCACTTGTTATTTATAATCTATAACTTATTTAAAAAAATCAAACACGTCTGCTATCCAGATATGTCACACTAACAGCGGTGTTAGCGATTCATAGCCTAGGTACGTAAAAATGAAAACAGCTTGGAGATTATTAGATCATAAATGATATTGAATTACTCGAAAGGGGGAGGGGAAAATGTTATTTAAAATGAAAATGGAGTATTTTATGCTGTAACCCTGCATGTAGTTAAGACTTGTGCATAGTTAACGACTGAAGTTAATGGCTACAGTTCAGCCCAAACAGCCAAGAGCACTATGGTTATTATGGCAGACTGTCTTGAGCCAACACCCACTTTATCCACTGTATGAGGTGTTACCCCTCAGTTGGCAGAAAACGATTGAGGAGGGTGCAAGCAGAACGCTTGGGTGGGAGATAGAACTGCAAAAAAGGAAGAAGTCAGCCATACAAAAGAGAGGTGTATGTTGTTACTGTGTGGAGAGCAGATGAAAAGAAGATTTAGCCTTGAGTAGTTGTGGACCTCTTGTAATTAGGGGTGAATGGGCCAAGTTAGTTTTGTGTACATCAGCCTCTAATAAGGGATAAGTTGCTTTCTGCCATGAGATAGGTTAGTGGTCCATTCAGTGTTCAAATTCTGTGGAAGTGAAAAATCTAGCGAAGCAGATACCTATCTAAATCTGCACATGCACAGGAATTGTGCTATATATGGTTTTTGTAGAAAAGCAGTATGTACATTTATTTATAAATGTATTTCAACCCAGAAGCTTCTAATTGGGTTTTTAAGGCAGAAGCAAAATGCTGAATCTTGACTTCCGGTCTATGGATTGGCGATGGCGGTCGCTCTCCCCAGAGCTTGGGGAGGCAATTAGCACACCATCGGCATGGAGGAAGTTAGCCCGCCACCTGCATGGAGGGGTGCCACCTCAAGTGGCACTCCTACGGAGCCTTTGTGAAAGGCTCCAGGCCAGAGAGCTTTGAGGGATAGCCTCTTCGACGGCTTGCTGCTGGAGAATCGAGGCTTCTCTCCGCTATGACAGGCCTACCGATGAGTTGCCTTAGGGCACAAACTAACTTGACCGGCACAAGCGCGGGAGACTGAGCGGAACAACGATTGATGTGAGCGAGGTCAGGAATGTGACCAACAATGAACGTGAGTTCTAATTAAACGAACTTTGATAAATGGCATCCCCCCTCCCCGTGGGAAAAGTGGAGGGCAAAGAGGGACGCCTCTGAAGCGCAAGGAGAGATAAACCCAGCAAAGGAGTGGGAGGAAGAAGAAGAAGAAGAAGAAGAAGAAGAAGAAGAAGAAGAAGAAGAAGAAGAAGAAGAAGAAGAAGAAGAAGAAGAAGAAGAAGAAGAAGAAGATAAATTGTTCTGGACTTTAATAGCAAAGGGATTGAATTAGGGTTGCCAGCCTCCAGGTGGGGCCTGGAGATCTCCCGCTTTTACAACTGATCTCCAGTTGACAGAGATCAGCCCCCCTGGAGAAAATGGCTGCTTTGAAGGGTGGACTCTATGGCATTGCACCATGTTGAGGCCCCTCCCTAAACCCCGCCCTCTCCTGGATCCACCCCCAAAGTCTCCAGGTATTTTCCAACCTTGACCTGGCAACCCTAGATTGAATACAAAGTTTCTTGTACCTTGCCACATTCCAGCAGCTGTTTGGGTAGCCTTCTTGGAGAGATTGTGGTGAGATTTGCAAGAAGACAGACCAGAGATGCTATATTAAAGGCAACTTCAGCAACTCCACTGAAATTTGAGAATACAATTATCAAGACTTTAAAAGACATTCCATTTGAAATTCGTCAGAAGAGAGAGCTACAAGGAGTTAATTACTTTTTTTCAAACAAACGGTATACTGTACAGGTGAGCGATTCCTGAGGTGTCATCTTTAAAATCAACGATAGAAGGGAGAAGATACTCCATCTTCAAAGCCAAGGAATTCTTGAAACGCCAGCTGGGATCGGGGGAAGAAACTAAGTCAAGTGACTCAGCTGCCTCGGGAACGGATGAGGACTCTGCTGCAGAAGCGGGTGCGGGAGCAATGAAAACTGTATATGATTTTAGAGACAGAAAGCCGAAGTAAGGGCAGAAGGACTCTGATAAATGGCTCTTTGAAATAAAGAAGATGCTCAGAAAGTTCTCTCATAATAACTAATTTACTAATATAGAACAGTGTGAAAAACAAGAACTCTACAAGTATATTTTTTTACTAACTCTTTTAATACTAATATTAAGGTTAACATAAAGGGGGTCTCCCACTCTTTGGTTTTTAGTTAGTGTGGGTTTCTTTCCTTTATCCATAGTTGTAGTTCCCCTTCCTATATTTTTCTTTGTAGTTTGTAGTCTTATTGAAAAAATAAAAATACCCCTCTGGGGGTTTAAAAAACAAACAAACCAAAACCAAAATGCTGAATCTTGAAATACCTGTATTTTTTATGCCTCTGAATGACTGGTATTTTAATTTGAAAAGTTTGACATATTATATGAATTGTATCATAAAATGAAAGGGAGTTCAGTGGATCCTGGGGTTACTGATCAGCCATCCTACTTGTGACATGGGGGAATATTTTTAAAAAGTTCTGTTTCTAAAGAAATTTCTCTGATCTTTATCTTGCCGTTAATTGTTCTTAAAAAAACGAGAGAGCCCAATGCAAAACAATTCAGCAGTGTTGTCTGGAATAAGAAACAGCAATAGCCTGTACTTCCAAAGCAATTGTGAAAAGCACAGCAGCCATTGGATATGCTCTAAAGCTCCACATGGTTTTGGTGCGTACATGGGAGCTCCGTTCATGTACGTGGGATGCTCCAAAACACTGAGGACAAGGAAGAACCTCTGCATATTTATTTATTTAATTTATATCCCACCCTCCCTGCCGAAGCAGGCTCAGGGCAGCTTACATAAAATATTTGGAGCTCCACAGACTCCTCGGAACCCACATGCACAAACTGGATCACAGAAATTGTGTATCATGTCCCTGTGGGCCATTTCTGTAGGAAGCTACTTGAATGGTATTCCAAAGTCTCAAATTGCATCAGAAATGACCTGTTGAATGGCCATCCTGGGGCTTTGTGTTAGCAGGCAGTTAGATGAGAAGGGTTGGGTAGCAATCCCCATTTGTTTGCTGTCTGATGGCCAATTTTGATGCTTCCTTGAGCTCTTAAGAAGCACCGAGCTGGTAAAATATCTGCAGTTCTGTGGAGTGGAACACTCATTCTAGTGATCGGCATCTAATTCTGGCTCTTCTATAACTTAGTAGCCATTAAAGTCATTTTTTCACTCCTCCTGAACCCCCTGAATACCTCGATGGCAAATTTGTAAACCATCTAATGTGGCTTCTTTCCAAGAATTCAGTGGTTAACTTAACATCACTAAAGGGCATTGAAATACATGTACATGTAAGCTTACAGAGCTATTGTTCTGCCATGTAGAATGCAAACGAAGAAAGAAGACTGTGAAAAATGACGCTAATAAAGATAATAAATATCCTTCTATATTGTTCTTAAGACTTTCTATAGAATGCCAATATACAACACTCACAAATTCTACACTTATTAATACAAAGATCTTATTATAAATTCACAATTATACAAATTATCAAATTCATAAGTCCACGAATCCAAATCCTAACAAAGATTCCAGATAAGTCTACCAGGGAAAGAATGGCATTCCTCCTCCCCCCCCCCCAGCCATCCCTTCTGGTTTTTCCTTGAAGCTTAGCCAGGCAAATCTCTGAAGAGACGCATCAGTTCTGCTCTGTATGAAACCGATCTAGTGATTTGTTGTTGAGTTCTCATTCTATACATGTGACTTCGATGTAGGTTTCTACATAGTTTTAGTTCTAAACATGGCAGCCTTTGTAACTGTTTATCTTAGCCCTCTCTCCTAATATGCCTTCTGGTTTGGACTGTCGTCTAGAATGTCCTTCTCTTCCAACCTCAACCATTATGGGATGGTCCATGTAGCCAGTGTGAGTGATGTTCTCTTGGACAACTCGTTCACCCCGCCATGCCAACGGATGGGTGGGATGGTCTCCTTCCGGACGTTTGAAGACTTCGTCAGGTAAGCAGGTGATGAGGGGCACTGGGGGGGGGGAGTGAGAAGCATCGATGACGGTACCTCTGAGGTCTTCCCCTCTCTCTTTTGGCCGGTTTCTTTGTTCTTGGCCACTTCTGATGCCCTTAGTTCCCATGTACAACCTGTGGCCTGTCTAGTTGCGTGGGGCAGTTGTCAACAAAACTGAAGTGGGGTAGAACATGTCCAAATTGGGAGGGAGCTAACAGACACCAGAGAGACATTGGTTCCAAAGGATACATTGTGCTAAAAACCTTCAGAAATAAGGTTTTGTTTTTGTTTTGCGGTTTGGTCTCCTCCCTCCTAGTGTCAGAGTGCACAACAAATAGAATGTGTATCTGCGGGGGGGGGGGGACAAAGGAGGCTGAACAGCTGCCTGGCTGTCCCCCATTAGTAAGATAGATTCTCCTCCCATTTCCTCCTTTATGCACACATGAAGTCTTGTGCTAGTAATGCTGGATTTGGAGCTTTGGGGCATATTGTGTCTAGCCATTCCAGAGAGTTTGAATTCCACACTACTGTCCTTTTGTAGAATATGCAGAACGGAACTGTTTGACAGGGTATTTTTATAAGTAGTGCTTTTGTAAGTTTTTACGCCTGAAATTGTCTTATTGTATGTATTTTATTGTATTCATGGCTTATTTACGGTAATATTTGTCATGTCCCAGTTTGGTGTAGTGGTTAAGTGCACGGACTCTAATCTGGGAGAACCGGGTTTGATTCCCCACTCCTCCACTTGCAGCTGCTGGATGACCTTGGGCAAGTCGTAGTTCTGTCAGAGCTGTCCTTGAAAAAGAGCCGTTTCTGTCAGAGCTCTCTCAGCCCCACTTACCATACAGGGTGTCTGTTGTGGGGAGGGGAAGGGAAAGGAGTGTGTAAGCCGCTCTGAGACTCCCTTTGGTAGTGTACGCAACTATAAATAAAGGAAGGAAATAAATAAAAATTGGTCACATCGCTGCCAGCTTCTGCTACTTTTGTTTTCTCTCTCTCTCTCTCTCTCTCTCTCTCTCTCTCTCTCTCTCTCTCTCTCTCCTGTTCTTAGGCTGTTTGATGAAGTGATGGGGTGCTTCTGTGACTCTCCTCCACAAAGCCCCACCTTCCCTGAGGCAGGCCACCCGTCCTTGTATGATGAAGATAAGGTATGATGTTGTCTTTCCTTTTGCCATAATGTCGTCTAGGGGCTGTTTGATTGTGGGGGGCATGCAGGGAGAAGAGGTAGACCGTATATTTTGTGAACAGTCTTGCAAACTGTCTCCAGAATTTACCAAAGGGCTTTCCACTTTTGTGGTATAGAGCCACAATAATTATTCCAATAAGTGAGAATCTGAGTCAGTTTTGCTCCTAAACCAATTAAAAGATAATATGCATGTTCCTTCCTCGTGCTCTGTGTCTTTTTATGTGCTTGAACTGTTTCCACTGGTCTGTTTTGAACTTCAGAGTGCTAGAGAGGAGCCCATTCACATCCTGAACGTTGCCATTAAGACCGATTGTGACATCGATGATGAAGGCCTGGCGGCCATGTTCAGAGCGTTTACACAGAGCAAGGTGAGGAGAGAGTCTTTATCCCTTGGGCTTGCTCCTCAAGACTGTTGGCGAGCAGCTCCCCTTGTCTAAGCCATGCTCATGAAGTAGGGTTGCCAGCCTCCGGGTGGGTCAAACAACAAATATGTACACTACAATAACCTTATTTATAAGCCAAAGTGTTCTGTATGTTCCATCTTATAAAGTGCATTGTGTATTATTCATAACTAGAAATAATGCCAGTTGCGGAAATAAATACAACGGGATCTAGAAAGAGGCTCTGGGAGAGTGCTCTGGCTTTGGGCAAACAGTGTCAGTTTCCTGTGGCGACCTCAGCAGGGTTTAATGACAGAGTCCACTGTTTTCTCCAGAGGGACTGATCTCTGCTACCTGAAGAGCATTTGTATGTTTGAGTTATCTGTAGCCCTCACCTGGAGAGTGGTAACCATTGTTACCCATTCTCCTCTCCCCTATGAGGTATGTTATGCAAATGAAAATCCCAACTGCCTTGCGGGGGGGGGGGAGTTTGAGGTGTGGAATGGACTGAAGTCCAATCAGCTTCCATATGCAAAAGACCAGGTTGTCGCAGCAGTTGTGGTGTGGGCGGGACCCGGGCTTTGCCTTCTGATTGGTGGCGATATATGCTGAGGAGCAGTGCCATCAGCCATACACTAAAGGAGTGCATTTTAGAATTAGAACTTTGGCACCCACTATTCAAATATATATAAGGAGAGATATTCTAAAACAGGTATATATTCATTACATGCATGTAATACACCTGTTTTGGAATATTATGAATAACAAGAAGGGGGACCCGCGATACTTGTGGGGGGGGGAGACGCTCCACGGGAGGAGAAGGAAGCAGCTGCAAGTGAGCCTTCTCCCCTGTCCCCCCCCATCCCCAGCACCCACGGCGAGGCCTCACCTCAGCCCGCCAAGCTTCCCCCTTCCCTAGCGGCGGCCGGGGGGCCCCGCCGGCCCCCCCCACCCCCCCCCCC